AGCCACAGGCGGCTTACGACACGTCCGCCGTCCTAACCATTCGCACATATATGTACATACATTCATACATACATATTCTCTCCAGATGTAAACACACTCATTCATACTTCTCTCCTTGTTAGGACGGCGGGGTGGGGTGGTCCACGCGACAACAGACACCATAGCCGGATGTTAAAGTTCATTCCAATGAATGATAGTTGACTCCCTTAGAGCAAGTGGCTAGGTGTCTCCCCCCTCATAGGTTGACATGACAGGACGTTACAGGACGTTACATGACATGTAACCTATTCCGACATAAAGGTCGAGGGACACGTACAGCATACAACACTTGTATGACTGTAAATCCGACAAAATATTGATTATTTAGTCCCAGGACCTTAACCACAAAATCCTACTTACAGGACCGACAGAACGCAACACCTATTGTATTAATCAAATCATACCACAGTATATACAGGTGTCGCTCGCACTAATTTCCACATACGCGTTAACCAACTGCGTTGTGTAACAAACAGTTACGCCATCCTCTCGCGCAACTTTTCCCACAGTGCCTGGGTATTTCAACTACACCACGGGCTATTATTCAGCTGTCATAGATGCATCTCGTGCATACAACTATCCTACCTATATTATATTAACTTCCTGCCTATTTACATTCTATATTCGATCTATATAGGGTGCAACCTACGTTTCCTTACAGTAATCCAGACCAGCACATTTTGCTGATCCTATTCTGTGGTGGAAGTCCCTCTTATCGTCCTTACAGATCAGGCAACACACCTCCCCCTTACAGTCCGAGGAAGCATGGCCCTCTTTCCCGCATCGAAAGCAGCAACCTGCTCTATCCTCTTCAGCACGGCACCTGTCCCTCCGGTGGCCGAAGCGCCAACACCTGAAGCACTGCTGCGGCCTGTCCCTGAGAGAAACAAATCTCAGGAGAGACCATCCGTGCTTAATACTACCGGCCTGAACTAGTCTATCGTGCACATGATCCGGACAACGAATCCACACGGATCGGCCGCACTCCCGACTTCTAATCGGAGAACCCACATAAAACTCCGTAGCGGAGCAACCACCGACACGACCAATCAAGGACAAAAGGTCCTCGCGCGTGGTCAACTCGTCAAAGCCCTTGACATACATTTCCCTGTAACGCACAGGGACTACAACCTGCGCGTCACTGCCATACAACACTCGTAGTTTTTCTGCCAAGAGTCCAGCCTTACGAGTACCGTCTATACCAGGAACCGAAATGTAGGTCCTCCGTCCAGCGTACCGCATGCGAACTCCGGAGATACCGAGCTCGCTGAGCACCACTTGCTTGGTGGCCCTCTCCATCAGAGTCTTTATAGGGGGGCCATCCGTAACCTCTTGAATATAGATGGTCGCAACTCGAGAGTCACGGCCATTCTTAACAGTCCTCGGGGTGGCGTGACCATTGTCACCACCACCAGGCCTCGTTATCTCTTCAGTAGGAGATACCTCAAGACCGGCCTCCGCGGTCCTTCCCTCCAGTATCTTCTTTTTCCTCCTCCTCCCTTTGACCACCTCCGTGAACAAAGGGGAGTTACATCGGTCCATGACCGGGGTAGAAGCAGCCTCCGGAGAGGCGGCTCTGTTTTCCCGCGCGGTACTTCCTTCCACAGGGTGCCCGGTCATAACCGAGTCCACATCCGAGCGTACACGCGCAAGACTCTCGGCTATGAGGGCCAGTTGCGCACCATGGTCCAGCAACAGGCGATAGATGGTGTCATCACCCATGGGCGACACCGTTACTTGTGGCGCATCAGGTACCGAGACCCCCGTCTGCCCCTCAAGATGCAGGTCAGGGCCAAGCCCGGAATCAGTCTGTACAGCTACAGTCATCACCGGCAAGCCCCGACTCTTCCCCGCTTCAGTGGCCAGCGCGTCTTCGCGTGGGCGATTCTCCTCCTGTAAGTCCGTCTGCGTGGACTCCGTCCTTTGATTAGGCTCCCCCTCAGTCTGGGTAGCCTTTTCCTCCGTCCGTTCCGCCTCTTCAGGCGGTCCGTCCTCCTCACTAGTTTCCACCTCCGTTTGGATACCTATAGATGCTAGTGATCGCCGCTCCGTCACTTGAACGCCTACCGATTCCCGTTTTATCTCATTTATGAGATACATCTTTAAATCAGTCTGGGTTCCTCTATCCTCCGTGTCATAATCCTCCTCTTCTTCCTCCTCCTCCCCCTCCTCTTCGCTCGAGGAGGGGGAAGAGGCCCTCTCGGTCTGAGTCCCTCTATCAAAGTATAATTTGAGCGGGTCCACCTTGCCCAAGCCGAGGGGTATTGACCACTCCTTGATCCACTGTTCCACTTCGTCCTCATATCTGAAGAAGACTGTCTCCATCCGCTTAATCACCCCATTGATCGCCGCCTTCCATTGACCATTAGAGCGCCGCGAATTCAGGTCCAGCCCGCGCATCCAATGTCTATCATTTATAGCTTCCCTACTCTTCAACTCGCGATAGGCAGAAATTGCGCGATCCACACTGATCGGGAGTTCCTCCTCATCTAACTCCTCCTTATAATCTAAATCAAAGTCCTCATAATCGTCGCAATAACCGCTGACGGGGGGCCAATCACTCGCCGCCATTGCGCCACCCTCGCGTCAACGCGTCAATATCGCGGTATCAGTCTTACTATGTACCCGGCCCTAAAGGCTGCCTGATATATACCGTATATGATTTAGGGCAGCACCGAACTGAATGTACTTCTATTCTAATCTAGTACTCCGTTAAGAAGGTGCTGCTCTCTTTTCCCTGCATGAACAATACCAAGTGCTGTTCACGGGGCAACGCCACACGAGAACAGACCCAGATCCGTCTCTTATTCTGTGCAAAAGCACGCCACTAATGCTACCGCAAAGCGCCCCTCTTAGATTCCGCGCGCAAGTCTATCATGCATTTCCGAATGCTTCGCAACGATTTACGCGACGGATAAGTCCGTCTCTCTACACGAGATCATCGGCCGAAAAGAACGGACCGAGTGCAGAACCCGAGTGGCAGGCCGATCGTCCGTTGCCTTAAACCAGCTCAAGCCTGCTATCCGACAAAGATAATGCGTCTATGCACTATATAGTACGCGCTCGAGTCTATTGCGTATCTTACACGCTACACGACATATCTGCGCGACGGAAACATCCGCTGAACCGCCCGAGTCCGTCGGCCGTGGAGAAGATAGATCGCGGCAACAATTCTTCAAAAATGATCGGACCGATTGTCCGTCGCCGCGAGCCACCTAATTATTACGCTTGACAGGGGGACACCACCCCGCCTGTCATATCCGTCAGCGATGTTATGCGTCTTACTGTCGTCGGACGTAGTGCGGGAGAACCTAACCTCGACCGCAATCCCCTCGACATAAAGCTATTTTACCACCTAACCTCAAACTGCCGTGGACATGCCAACACCGTATATTCCACAAGCAGCGAGCGACGCGAGAGGCACTATCCACGTTCAAAGCGCGACTCTCTAGCCCCGCTACTATTGGCTCGAAGCTACCCTAAATAACGCCCGGGTGCTCAAAGCACAGGCCGGGAGAATACAGCTCGGTCGCAGCCGACCGCGCCGTCCTCGCCGTCAGTCCAGCGCGAATCTAACCTCAAAGACGAGTCCGGCTTATCCCGACATACGGAGACTCCATTTGAGCCCTCCCCGAACGCAGGTCGCGACGCGCCTAACCTCAACCCGTCTCAAGCTTCACCCCGTCACGAGCATCTAGCCCACGGCCCTCCTCTCGAGTCGCGACGCGCCTAACCTCGACCGTCAGACCGTCACGAACATCCCACACACGGATAGCTCGAAGCTACCTCAAATAACGCCCGAGTGCTTGAAGCACAGGCCGGAAGAACACAGCCCGGCCGCAGCCGACCGCTCCGCCCTCGTTGTCAGTCAAGCGCGACTCTAACCTCAAAGACGAGTCCGGCCCGTCCCGACATACGGAGACTCCGCTTAAGTCCTCCCCGAACGCAATTCGCGACGCGCCAAACCTCTACACGTCGCGGATTTCAACTCGTCACGAGCCTCTAGCCCGCGGACCTCCTCTCGAGTCGCGACGCGCCTAACCTCAACCGTCAGACCGTCGCGAACATCTCACACGCGTAACAAACTGCCCCCCGCACTCGCGACGCCCGGTCACTTTCCTGAAAGAAAGAGGGCAGGAAACACAATAAAAGATGTAAATATATATATACAAGCGTTCCTCCGCTGTCGTGAAACGAGGCAGGGCAGCAATTTATTTTTCCCAGTGCGTGCCTTGATAAAGGCAAGCGCACCCGTCTATCTGAAACAGACAAGTTAATGACGGGCAGATAACCTTACCTTCGCCCGTCACTAATTACGACAATATGTATAAAACGGTATGTACAGTATTTACACAACGAGAACACTCGAGCCCGACACACACGACACACCCCGCGAGCCAGCCGAGCAGGAGATCGCGCGACTTCCTCAATATTCACGCGCGCGATCACCACCCGAAGCACGCGGTATTACCGTCCTGTAACCTTATTCAGGATCAGAATTTAGTTCGAAGTCTAAGCCCGAAGTGACGTGGCAGGCGCGTATCAAGCGCCGCGCAACAACGTCCAGCCAAAATACCGCGCGACACGCGCTCCACCTCAGAGCGCCACTCGCGCAAGAGCACCGACCAATCGCGCGCGTCTTCACGATCGCGAGCGCCGCCACGACCACGAGCGCCACCGCGATCACCAAGACTGTGGCGCGCACTAATCCCGCCGACGGGAACGATGTCTACGTTCCCCGAGCCCCGAGCAAAGTATTCATCCGGAATACGAACGCGCCCGAACACTCGCCGTCACATGTAAACCGGCCCTACGGCCCGCGACATATGCCCGCGACCGGCAACCTCTCAAGACGTGCACAACACTAAAAGGCACAACCGACATACAAAAGACAGCGCGGAGCACTCGACGGCGACAAAAGCCGACACCCGCCCCTCGCCCCGCGCACCCTCACACACGCGGCAAAGCTCCGCACGTCATGAACCACGCCGAACACGAAGCCCGCGATCCGCGCGTCACCCGGGGATCGCCCGCGCACGCACGACCACGCCCGAGCACCCCGCGCACGGAGAGGCCGACACCAGCCTCCAGCACACTCGTTGAGCCCCGGCACGGGGCCCCCCGCAGCTCCAAGGCACGAATCCGACGCGTCACCTCCGACACTTAGTACGGCTCAAGGCGACTCCGCCGATCGCCGCCACCAATGCCACGGCACGAGCACGACTCGCGGAACACCCCCCTGCACTCGCGGCCCCTCGGAGGGCCTCGCACTCCCCGCAGAAGGCGCCGAACGAGGAGGCGATCCGACACGTCACGGCGCGAACGACAATATGGTGACTTTACTGCCGCGCCCTATCGCCGCGTTCACATCACCTAGGGAAACGGTTGACACCAACAGGATTTTTAAAGTCAAATCCGAGTATATGGTCGCGATCACCACCTCCCACAGATCCACCCCCGACGTTTGAAGTCGTAAAAAATTTCCGATTTCGCGCAAAAAACCGGCCGAGAGTGCCCACACTAAAAGTCACATTTCGCGACTCTACACATAAACGGGCAGCCCGCCCACACATACACACTAAAAACACACAGACACACAGTCCCGCCCCGAGCCCGACCGCCCCGGGCGACCGCGGTAATCCCTCAATACTCCCGTCGACACGCGCACCGGGAGTCCGACACGTCACGCGTCGCCTCAATATGGCGATACCATATCGCTCCCCGCCGCTAAAATCGTCGCCGGCAACGGCGCTCCTAACCTCAATCCCTCAGCACGTCAAAGCCGAGGACCAGGACACGCCGCCGACGGCGATGCTACACTACGCTATCGTCTATGCGTAAGGCGAATCCACAATTCGCATTGCAAGGTGCCGTCCTTAAACCGCCCGCAAGGCGGTATTACACCACGCACAAGGTCCGCAAGACCACCTCGCCGACGAGTACGAGGGGCCAGCAGCCACCGCACCCCGCGGCCAGCACGACACCGCGAGTCACCACGGCTTAGAAAAAGCGCGGGATCGCCCGTCACCCGCGCAGAAGACGTTATACTACGTGGCCCGTCTCGAAGACGAGAACGAGTACGCCACGCGGGGCCAGAGCACACGGCGCGCGACGGCCACCAACCACCCGACCGCGGCACACGCGACGACGCAAGGGCGCCCCTCAAACAGGCCCAGAAGGGCACCGCGAAAATAATTTAATTAATAATCTTCCGCACGCTTAACCGCGAAAATCCGCGCGACGAGCACGCGGCCGACACAATGGCGGCGGTACTGTCGATCACGGCGCCGCCGCGTATCCCTCCGCCGCCGGGAAATAGCGCCCGGTCGTCAAGACACGAACGCAGGGGAGAACTCCCCGCAGACGATGTCCGCTGATACCACAAAATGGCGGTACTACCGAAGCAGCAGCCACCATATACGCGAACACGCGCAAATCCTTAAGGCTAATTTACAATCACAGACGAAACTATGTACACGCAAAGTCTTAATACAGACCGAGATTCCACTCGTCAACCAGCAGAAACGTCTCGGGCCGTGCCGTCTATATGGCCCGCCACACATGAGCGGCCATTACAACACCCGTCCTTTGTGTTAAACGGCAACCGTCCCTCACGGAAAGTCCCGTGAAACCGCCGTTATCCGACACTTCTCCGGTGCGGGAACGCGCCAATGACCACTGGAGAACCGCTACGGAGTGCACTGAGTCCTTTTTAAGCCCTGAAAAGGGCTAATTTCCACACAACTTCTATTAGAAGATTATCACGCGGAGGCACGAGAGTGGGGGGAACCGGCCATCTTGCCACTCCGGCAAGGCACGTAGCAGCGTGATACACTTTTACCGTCAATTTCTCGACAATTAATTGTCGCACCACTCCGCCTCCACGTTCTCGAGTCAATGATCACCCGCGGAACACGGTGATACCACTCACGATAGCCAT